CTGACACCTTTATGAATGCCAAACCAGTCCGAGTAGACCCCGTTGATCCTGACACAAGCACTAGAGTCCCTATAAAGAGATCTTAATGCCTGTATCAAGCCAGCGCTCAACCCAAATGAGTTCAGTGTTTGCCATAACACATTCCTGTCCACTCTGTCATAAGCCTTTTCCAAGTCCATGAACGCACAAAAAGCTTTCTGGTTTTTAGCCAAAAACTTCTCCGCTATGTGTGGTGACCTGACTTAGGTGCTGCAGATGCAGGAGCTGCTGACGGGACGGCCTCCGTGGTTAGCAGCTGGCCCTCCGACGTTTGCGGCGTACCATTACCAAATCGTCTCTGGTCCGTCTCCTGTTGGCGTTAACTTCGGGTACGGATACCCTCCGTGTCGTCTTTAGGTAAAATCGGCATATTTGATCCCACTTCTGACACCAATTGTTACGAGCTTGGGGTTCGAGACAATTAAAAACTGACGATTGAATTACCAAAATTGACACTCTAATTACACAACACTAATTACAATCTAAAACCATACTAATAATAAAACACAATTGTATTACTGATCACTTAAGTTCGGAGTTGTTTCGCTTCCAAGTATTCTCTTGTATCGCCAATTCAATACTGCCTCGTTCGTGGTCTATACCAGCCTTATATAGGGCCTCAGACAGTTTCCAGAACCTTCTACTGTAGCGACATCTAGAATGTTCGAGTACATATCGGTCCCGAAATTTCTAGAAGGATCTTGACTCTCTTAGTTCTGCTACTCGACACTGGAGGGCGCTAGTGTAACTACTGTTGCCATGTACAAGACATTAATAGTGGCGCGCAACAATACTATATCGTAATTGTCCCCTACAAGATAAGGGAAGTCATTAATATGGACTAAGAACAGGGATGGGCCAAGAATCGAACCCTGAAGAACCTTTGATAACCACGTAATTTAGTACTCTATTGAAAGAACTGATCACCTGGTGATTACTGAAATTATATATAGAGTTGTAGTATTTCATTTAATGTTCAGTAATACATAAAATATGTATATGGTTACTATTTAAAAATAATTCAAGTTCTAGTTCTTTGCCTAACATACCGTGTATATTTTGATGCACCAGGTTAAGGTGACACCGCGAAAAAATGCACCCCCTTTCATCGAATAGTATAGGAGTATGACACGACTAACGAAACAGGGATTTTGATATAAGTAAATTTATGCCTTTATCTTGAATTTACTTGTTCAAAAACACGATTGTAAAATTTTTACTCGATCATAATTATTTGCGAAACACCTCTAAAAACCACTATAGTTGAAATTACAACGAAATTACTTAATCTATATGCTTGGGAACCACTCAAATACATTCATAACATCAATATTCGTAATCTATTTGCTCATTATTTTGATTACTAAAATCAATAATGTTTTAAAAATATTTTAAGAATCTAAGCGATTTCTAAGCGGTCTGAAACGTCGCGGGCGCTACGCATGACGGTTTTTGAAGTTTTTATAGAAATTATGTTTTACTCAGGTCAGTCCGGCGATAGCCCACTTAAACGGTTTTCGATTTGTGTAAATTTAAATTATATCATAGTTTATTTTCCTGTGGCCACCCATCTATGTAAGGCAATGTAAAAGATAACTTTAAGCATATTTATGTTATTGAGATATTCTATATATTTTAATAATTGCTTCTTGTTTATATTGCCTCTTCTCCCAAAAAAAATTATTAAAATACTAATTTCTGCTGAATTTGCTAGTTAAAATTTTATTCATAATATCACTGAATGAAGCTTCAGGCACGCAGTAATTACTTATCTGTGGCCCTTTTAAACAGTTATTTAATGATATTCCCAAATTTTGCCTATGTCATCATTATACACAATAACATTTTTTTTTCATTACATGAATTACTTTTTAAATTTATCTGATTTGTTATGGTACTGTCATAGAGTGTAGGTAAAGAAAATGAAGTATTACTGAAACAGAAACTTTTTTATTCAATATAGATTATAAATAATACTCATTGAAAGTCACTCTTTTGTTTGATTACCACTGGTTCGGAAAAACCTCTGTCCTGGGAAGAACCAGCAAGAAACCCAGCGGGACTTTTTTTTAAATAACAGCTTACAATCATGATGTTACACAAATTAACAACACAACAAATTAGAAATAGCTTGGTAGCGATCACCTCATCTCCAGGGGTTACCAACATCCATAAATTCCTTAATATTATAATAACCCTTTTTATACAAACTTAGTTTAATAAAGTTTTTGAACTTTGAGCAGGTCAAACTTTGTATATTTTCTGGAATTTTGTTGTAAAAGCGTATACATCGCCCCAAGAATGAATTACTGACTCGATGGAGTCGAGTAACTGGTACTACTAGCTTGTGTCTGTTCCTAGTTCCTGAATATCACTTCTTTTTGTAAAACTACTTTTATTTTTGTGTACATACATTACATTTTCATAAATGTATTGAGAGGCCAAAGTTAATATATTAATTTCCTTAAATTTTTGTTGCAGGGACTCTTTAGGCTTTAAATCATAAATTGCTCTTATGGCCCTCTTCTGTAAAACAAATATAATTTCAGTGTCAGCTGCGTGTCCCCATAGCAAAATACCATACGACATTATGCTATGGAAGTAGCTGAAGTAAACTAGTCTAGCTGTTTCAACACTGGTTAGACTTCTAATCTTTTTTACAGCATATGCTGCAGAACTAAGTCTGCTTGCTAGTTTTGATATTCTTTACTGCTTTTCATATTATTAACATACCCAAAAGAACCTGGCAGTGAGCGCTGATATTCATTTTGATATTTTAATAAGGAGTCAAAACGTACCTCGTTATATTTAAATGACTACCAGACTATCCATGGCCAGTATGTGTTCTTTTATCTTATTCCCTGCAGATTTATATTTATTTGACATAATTTGTAATGAGGTTTGAAGTGATAAAATTTCCGAATTAAGACACTCTATTTTAGTCTCATAACAATTTTTCATGTTTTCCACCTTAATTGAATATAAATTTAAGTTTTCTAATTAACTATTGCTTTTCCTTACATACATTTGTATAATTTTAAATACTCATTTTAGTTTTAACTCATTTTTGCACTTATCTTATATTGATTTTTATATATTTTCTTAATTTCCTTTTGCTGCTTGTAATCCTTTCTGCTGTTCTTGATGTGGCAGAATCATCAGTCAAATCTATCTTTGTGGAGGATTGCAACGTTTTATGAGATTTACATTATACGAACTCATCTAACAGACTCTGAGTTTGAAATACTTGCAAGTTATCAATGCATTGTTTAAATTGTGAAATTTGCTCATTAGCTTCAGTTAATTGTAATTTCAATGTAGCAGTGAGTGTATAGAACTGGAGTTTTCCGTTTAGAGAGTTCTCAGTTTACTGGTAACAAGGCATTTTATCTTTTTCCTGAGGGGTGACAACGCATTTGTTTATTGATGGAGGATAGATGTAGATATCTATGGGATATAGCATCCACTTAGCCTCGTTTGTAACCCTTACCCTAGTCACTGTTCAACGACGTCCTAGTATACCGTAGGTAACATACCCAATGTTTTCTTACTTCAGCTCATAATTTTCTTAATGAAATCTATATTATGAAAGTCTTAACATCTTAATACTAATTTTATTTTTTAATATTATTAAATATAAGACAGGACGTAACTACAAGCCTGGCAGCTACTAATTTCTAACCTCGTTTTTTTGACTGAAAACTTGATGTAAAAACTTCTTTATGAACGTTGGGCAATTTTGAGATGGGGAAAAAGCACTGAACTCGCGTTACCGTCACACACAGATACGTAAAATTAATGAAAGTAATGTTGAAAATCCAATTGATAAAATTTTATATAAATGATATATATATTTAAAAATTTGTTTGTATTATATAGATAATAATTATTCTTTTTCATGTAAAACTTCACAATATATGAAAACTATTATTATTAATACGTTGATAAAAATATTTTCTAATAAAAAATAATTCTTAAAAAAATATTTCTCAATAATCCAAAAATGGTGTTTAGAAGTTTATGAACCTAAGAAGTTTTCACTACTGTCGTACAGTCTTACGACTGACAGTTTTTTGTTAAACAATAGGGGTGACATAGTTCGTAGATATATTTCCGAAATACTTGATCGTTTTACGTTAAAAGAAAATCGCACTAGTTGGTCTCGCTACTGTATTCTCCTGTGGTTGTGGTCCCACCAGAACACAAACTCAATAATGACCTCATTTGGCATGACTTACTACGTGCAAAGTCAAATTGATAAATTCACTTTATTTGTATCGCTGCTTTGGTATTCACAGCAAAGCGCTATATTATATACAATAGCTGTTCCCCGCCCGCGTGTAATTTAGGGTTTTAATTACGTGTTTTATTTTAATTATGTAAACAAAATTGAAGTGTCTGTTTGTAATGTCAAAATAACAGCTTTTTACTAAATACATATGAAAATATAACGATAATTATAACAATCTTTTTGAATTTTTGTCTCTGTCTTTCTGTCTGTCTGTCTGTTTGTTCCAGCTAATCTTCGAAACGGCTGTACTGATTTTGACGGAACTTTCCGTTGGCAGATAGCTGATGTTATGAGAAGTAACTTAGGTTATTTTATTTTTGGAAAAATAATTAGAAGTACGCGCAAAAAATTAAAACCTATGAAATTCAGTCGTAATAATTCCGACGCGGACGAAGTTGCAGGGAACAGCTCGTTAAGTTATACATTTGTTGGTTTGTCGTAAATTAGTGTAAGTACTTAAAAATTTTCATAAGCTAGCCTAACAGTATGCAAAACCAAAGACAGCACTGTACTTTAGTTCTCATAAAACTCCTATTTCTCCAGACTGTACTAATTCTAAAATATTTTCGGTGACACTGACTGTACTTTGCACATAATAATATTTTACTGTACTCGAACTGTACACGACTGTACGTTAGAATAAATACAATAGATACATTGATTGCTTATCACACTCAGTAGTACAATGTGGCTGTTAGTATCGTATCCAGCGTCGATAGAGACATACGTGTCCTTTTAAATATACGTCCGTGAAGGATCGTAGTTGTCGTAGTATAAAGTTGTAGAAGATTATTTATAACAGAAAATCAGCGCGCGTTTAAAAATAATTTTCACCTATTAATTGATGTGAATTATTTTTGAGTTTTCCTATTGTATTTTTTGTGATCTATTAAGAATTGAAGTGATTATTTATAAGCGAAAAACACTTTCGTTTCTCGTGTCTCTTCGAATTTACCAGCACCATAGATTTCAGGAGGTGAGTGCGATTTATATTTCTGATGCGTCTATGTCTTTCTTCGACTTGTATCTACTATTCAAACTTTCTATTTACTTATGACAATGCCCAAAATTCCGTAAAGCCGATAATGGTTTATCAGTTACGATAATGGCCAAAACAAACCGGATGATGTACGAGTAGTTGTAATGTGTAAACAGATATATAAATATTCTTAGAAATCACGCTATTTAGAAATGAACGGCATTGATTGTAATATATGAACTCTTGGGGTGATTGGTGACAGTTTTGCATTGAAAATATTTTTATAGGTCAAATTCAAATTCAAATTCAAATTGTTTATTGCATGTCACATTACAAATATAAGATGTTACATTTGATAGGTATACATGTGACGCCCTGCAAGGGCATAGCAACACTAGAGGACTAACTATTTTTGTATAATCTAACTTTTAAACATAAATTATAAAATATCCCATCGTCAACATTCAATATTATTCTATATAAATTACTTAAATTAGAAATATAATATAGTCGAAGTATTCTTTCTTTGTCATTATTTATCGTCAAAAAATTCTTTCAAAGTATAATAACATTTATTAATAAGGAATGTTTTTAATTTTTTATTAAATTGCGCAAGGTTTTCTAGGATTTTTATAGAATTCGGTAAATGGTTATAAATCTTTATTGACATAACGTGGGGGCTAGTCGAAACTAATTTTAGTTTGGAGAAGGGTATCCTAAGCTTATATAAATTTCTATTATTTCTTTTAGTTATTGTAATAGGTGAGTACAATTTTGGGTGTTTCCTGACGAATTTACAAGACTCGAGGATGTAGATAGATGTAAGTGTTAGTATTTTATATTTAATGAAGTGAGGTTTACATGATTCCATTTGGTCTAAATTCGTTAATCAAAGGTCATTACATTTATCGCTAGTTTTTCTCTGAGCGACATCTTTATTTGAAGTAATTTTATTTATAACTAGCGATCCCCTCTGGCTTCACCTGGATATGATTATAAATGATTATTTAATGTGATGTAATATTATCAAAGACAATTTTTTTAATCAATTATCGGTGTTTTCAAAAATAATCAAGATTTTGGGATAAAATATAATGTAGACCAATTCTGGCATTGCTTACTATTTCTTCCTGAAGTTTATTTACAACTAGCTGTTCTCCGCGACTTCGCCCGCGCTTAATTTATTACGATTGGATTATATGGGTTTTAATTTTTTGCGCGGAACCCTAATTCTGTTTCTAAAATAAAAGTAGCCTAAGTTACTTCTTATAATATCAGAGCTATCTATCAGTGAAAGTCCGGTAAAAATTGGTCCATCCGTTTCGGAGATTAGCCGGAAGAAACAGAGACAGACAGACAAAAATTTTAAAAATAGTGTGTTTGTTATAAGTACTTAATACTTTAATATGCACATAGTAAAAAGCTTTTATTTTGACACAAACAAACACTTCAATTTTATTTATTTGTATGGATTGGTTCGGTTCATTCCGAAGTCCGAAGGTTAGCCCGGACAGACGTCTGTCTGTCTGGGCTAATCTTAGTTGTGTATCGCCAGCAACGCAAAGTCGGGAATTTGCATTTGGAAAAATCCAAAATTAGGGGCTTTTTAGGTGCTAATTAGGTGCCAAGTTTAAAAATTAGGTGCTCTAAAATTTTCACCGCAACGAACTGTTGAAATTCAATGAAGTTATTAGATATACGATAAATATAAATAGCAAGGAATTAAGTGCTAATTAGGTGCTGCAAGTATACGCAATAACAAGGCGCCCCTAATAAAAATAAAGTCGTTATTCAGAACATAGCAGATGCAAAATTCAGATTTCCTGAAAATCAAAATAGAAACAAAATTGCTTTCAGAAAAAGTCCAAATTAGGGGCTTTTTGAGTGCTAATTAAGTACCAAGTTTAAAAATTAGGTGCTCTAAAATTTTCACCGTAACGAACTGTTGAAAGTTGCGTTACTGGCAAAACGTATCGCTGGCAACGCAAAGAAGTTATATAATATACGATAAATATTAATAGCAAGGAATTAAGTTGTAATTAGGTGCTGCAAGTATACGCAATGACAAGGCGCCCTTAATAAAAATAAAGTCGTTATTCAGAACATAGCAGATGCAAAATTCAGATTTCCTGAAAATCAAAATAGAAACAAAATTGCTTTCAGAAAAAGTCCAAATTAGGGGCTTTTTAGGTGCTCTAAAATTTTCACCGCAACGATCGATTGAAATTTGCGTTGCTTGCAAAATGTATCTAGCAACGCAATGACGTTACTAGATATATGATAAATATTAAGAGCAAGGAATTAAGTGCTAATGAAGTGCTGAGCGATTATCGAAACCCGATACAGATTAAGATATTATTCTGGGAGTTATGGGGTCCACAACCACCATTACCTTACCATAATGTATGGACGGTATTTTTTATTCTTTATCAGTGCCTAAAAATTAAGTGCTAATTAGGTGCTGAAAGATTATTGAAGTCACATGTAGATGACGGTAATATTCTGGAAATTATCGCATTTAAAACCACCATCAGATTTAATATGATTATATTTGAAAATGGTTGAAAATTATTTTAAATAATATCATAGATTTATAATATTGTTTAATATAATTTTCAACCAAATAAATGTTACAATTCTTATTTTTAGACATGTGAAGCCCAAACTTTAGTGTACTAAATCGAAAGGATATTTTCTTTCCAGTAAATTGCTTTGTACCTAATAAATTGCGCCATCTACAACGTTCTATAGTTCTAGTCATTTTATCGAATCAAAATCGATGGGCTCTCAAGGTGGTAAGTAGGATAGACGCTAGATGGCACAAACACAAAGACCTGATTTTTGCATTTGCTTTACTGAATAATTTTCTGAATAACGACTTTACTTTTACCTGGGGCGCCGTGTCATTGCCTATACTTGCCGGACCTAATTAGCACTTAATTCCTTGCTATTAATATTTATCGTATATCTAATAACTTCATTGCGTTGCTAGCGAGACGTTTTGCCAGCAACACAAATTTCAACAGTTCGTTGCGGTGAAAATTTTAAAGCATCTAATTTTTAGACTTAGCACCTAATTAGCACTTTATATTTAGACACTGATAAAGAACATAAAATGCCGTTCATACCTTATGATAAGGTAATGCTGGTCATGGACCCTATAATTCCCAGAATAATATCTTAATCTGTATCGGGTCTCGATAATCGCTCAGCACTTAATTAGCACTTAATTCCTTGCTATTAATATTTATCGTATATCTAATAACTTCATTGCGTTGCTAGCGAGACGTTTTGCTAGGAACGCAAATTTCAACAGTTCGTTGCGGTGAAAATTTTAGAGCAACTAATTTTTAAACTTGGTACTTAATTAGCACCTAAAAAGCCCCTAATTTGGACTTTTTCTGAAAGCAATTTTGTTTCTATTTTGATTTTCAGGAAATCTGAATTTTGCATCTGCTATCTTCTGAATAACGACTTTATTTTTATTAGGGGTGCCTTGTTATTGCGTATATTTGCAGCACCTAATTAGCACTTAATTCCTTGCTATTAATATTTATCGTATATCTAATAATTACATTTTTTAACTTTTTTAAATTTTTAAACTTGGCACCTAATTAGCACCTAAAAAGCCCCTAATTTTGGATTTTTCCAAATGCAAATTCCCGACTTTGCGTTGCTAGCTATACACAACTGCTAATCTTCAGACAGGCAGTTAGACAAAAAATTAACAAAATATTTATTCATGTCCTAATCGTATGCAAATAACCCCCCTTATCTCAATAAAAGATTAGTTATCTCTACATCACAGATATATACTTCAATTTTATTTAAATTTGTAGATCATTAAAAATATAAATAATAATACAAAACTGGAAGATTAAATTATAATATGCGCATAAGTAAAATAAAGACTGCTTGGACGGCTCCGTGGTGCAGTGGCTGAACAATCAATTGCAAGGCACGGAACAAGTATTTGTATCATCATCATTACAGCCCTTCACAAGTCCACTGCTGAACATAGGCCTCCCCCAAAGAATGCCACAAAGCACGGTCCTGGGCCACCTGCATCCATCGACTTCCTGCACATCTTACCAGGTCGTCACTCCATCTAGTGGGGGGACGCCCTACACTTCGCCTGCCGGTACGAGGCTGCCACTCGAGAACCTTTCTTCCCCATCGGTTGTCGGTTCTTCGAGCTATATGGCCGGCCCATTGCCACTTCAGCTTACTAATCCGTTGGGCTATGTCGGTCACTCTGGTTCTACTGCGGATATCCTCATTTATATATCATTATATCTCATTTATATATCTCAATTTGTAGATCATTAAAAATATAAATAATAATACAAAACTGGAAGATTAAATTATAATATGCGCATAAGTAAAATAAAGACTGCTTGGACGGCTCCGTGGTGCAGTGGCTGAACAATCAATTGCAAGGCACGGAACAAGTATTTGTATGGACTACAAATAATTGCTCCGGGTCTGAATGTTTGTCCTTGTGTAAGTTATGTATGGATGCCTCCACGATACAGGAGAAATTCTAGTGTAAAATCGTAATATTATAATTAAAAATTAAAAATGTTGTACAATCTACTTCAATTTTTTTTCACCCTATGGTAAGTGCTTGCATAGACATCTACATCTATCCTCAATAAATAATCAAAATGTAGATGCGTTGTCACCCGCGGGGACTAAGATGGAATGCCTCTTTTCCATTAAAAAGGGTCTCCGGTTCTCTAAACTCACCATACGAAACACAGCAGTGTTAAGCTGCTATTCTACGCTTGTATTCTGTGAGAGCGTGGTCCTTCCCCGGTCTAGCCGAGCCATGCGTGCTGCAACTATACTGCTAATATAGCTGCAGCATGGCTCTGCCACGTGTAAAATTTTCAATTCAATATAAATTATTAAGAATAACTCAAAAACTATTGGTCAGACCTTGATCAAATTTATATGGAAGCACAAGAGAAGCACCAGCTTTCAAATAAAAAAAC